TGTTGGGGATATAATCTAGCACACCAAAGAAAATATTCTTCATGAAGGTCCAAAGGAAGAACTTCTCTCAAAACTCATGTTGAGTAAAAACTGATCTTTTTCTGAGGAACTGGTATAAATTTACCTTATGAATTAATTCTGAAATTAATCATGCTCACCTCTACCTTCTGAACTCCAGCAAAGTCAGGGTTGAACTTATAATTAGCTTCTGGCAACTATATAAATCTTATGGCATCTTTTTATTTTTTTAAATAAACTCTTCATTTTAGAATAGTTTCATATTTACAAAAAAGTTACAAAAGTTGTATAGAGGGTTCCATTTACTACCCCCCACTCTCCAGTCTCCCCTGTTAATAACATCTTACATGATGAGTATGGTACATTTGTCAGAATTAATGAGCCAATAATGATACATTATTAACTGAAGTTCATAATTTACTCAGATTTCCTTAGTTTTACCTGACATTCTTTTCCTTCCAGGATCTTTATGGTATCTATTGTATACATTAAATTTACTAGAGTACCTCCCTGGTGGTTCAGGGAGATACAGGTGGTTAAGAAACTACCTGCCAATGCAGGGGACAGGGGTTAAATCCCTGGTCCACGAAACTTCCACATGCCGCAGGGCAACTAAGCCTGTGAACAACTACTGAGCCAGGGCTCTAGAGACCATAAGCCCCAACTACTGAAGCCCTTGGCTCTAGAGTCTGTGCTCTACAACAAGAGAAGCCACCATGATGAGAAGCACGTTTTCCGAAACTAGAGAGCAGCCTCCACTTGCTGCAACTAGAGAAAGCCTGCATGCAGCAACGAAGACCCAGCTCAGCCATAAATAAATAAATAAAAATTTACTGGAACTGTATCTCACAATTCTATCTTTATTTCCCCCTTATTCTAACCTTTATAACTACTGCTATCTAATGATTTTATCTAATTTTATACACCTTTCCCAATACTTCTAGGAATTATTTGGAGTAATAAAAAAACTTAGTACAGATTTCTGCAAAGACAATTAGTTTCTGCCCAATAAGTCAAGTAGTTCAGTATTATTCCAAGTAGATAATGCTTCATTAATCTTTTAAAAATACAGAGACTCAAGGAAATGCCTGATTAAAAATGTTATTCAAAGATACTATTTGGATAAAAATATAAAGTCAATATAAAAAAGTATTTTTATGTTTCAATACTAGTTTAATCTCTTGAATTCTCCTTTGGTCATCACCTATAGCATCAGTAATCCTGATTGTTCTTCCTGAGTCATGCAAACTTAACATGGTCTCAGATCGCATAAATCTAAGATGATGATGAAGCAAAATGATCTTTTAAAGTCTCTTTCAATTAGAAATGTCAATTTCTAATTCTGTGACATAGGCCGACTGTCAGATTCTCGTATTTTTCCATCACAAGAATGGAAAACATTAATGCTTCTAAACAAAAGATACTATATTTTAAAAAGATGATGGCAAAATAAAGTTTGAAGCTTTACTTGAAAATAACTCAGTATAAACCAAAACAAATTTAGTGTGAGGATTATATGAAGTGTCTAAGTCATGTGTATCAAAATTATCCTGAAGGAGGAAATTTACCCAAAACAGGTGTGACTATTTACCCAAGAATTTGGCCAACCCAAAATATTTGACAAAATTTGATTATGTCAAATGGGTACCACAATTAGAAGTTCTGTTGTCATATCCATAATAAACTGTCTTGCCTCAAAACAATCCTGATTATTAAGATACGACTGATTCACTGATGTTGGGACTTTCCATTTGCAGCTTAATTTAATCTGTCCAAAATACCTCATTGACAGTAGGAATTATAAAAAGCACAATGTAGTTTAAAGGGTTTTAGCATCTATTTCTGAAAGTTCTTCAAAACATTACTTCATTAAAGGTTGAATTTAAAGGTCCTAAGTGCGTGTCTGTCCCTCCACATAAAAAAAATAAATCCTCATTCTATTGTTACATATGTTCTACAATTCTTCCTGCAGAAAAAAGATAAAATAAACAGTAAAATTCTTAATTATGTCCTTATTTTAAAATCATTACACTGTGTAAGTTTTAACAAAGAATTTTAAGCCATCTTCTCAGTCACATATTTCCAAATGTGAATGCCTACCAAAACTAACAAATTACACAGAAGAGTAGGCAATGATATTAATACATATCAAAAGAGATTAGCTATGAATTGATAAGGAATACATGAGAATAAGTCTTTTAGCATTTTAAATATTTTCCTTCAGAATATGAGACTCTCCTAGTTACAATCACAAAACATTTATTTGTTGTTTTTCTGTTACACATTTGTTTTAAATAAAAGTAGAGACACTTTATTTTCACGAATAAACATATAATGATTCATGAAATTAACTCTCAAAGGAGGAATAAAGCAAAATAACCAACAATCTGAATGTTTATTTGAATAATCAAAGCAACTTTAAGTAAACACGCTTTGATTTCTTAATACACTGAAATTATTTTGTTTGGTTGGTTTACTTTTAAATGGGGAAAAAAGCCACCTTACCTGTGATATTGGAATAAAGGCACTATCTTAAAATTAGAAGAAAATGATCCACTAGTATAAAAAATAAGTGATCAAATTCTTAAGCTTTCATATACTGTGCCTTTTATCTAATATACTTCTATCAAATAAACCACTTCACTCTTTAAGAATCCATTTCAAGTTATTTTTCTTTCACTACAATTAGAAACCCATCGCATCTTAAACAAAAGTACTGTGAAAATATGAATACACTACTTATTGCACTGTGACTCATCTTAATAAACAAAAATGATTTTTTAATTCTAATAACAATATTAAGTTATAACTATTTAATATATGTAAATAATCAGTACAGCTATTACTTATACTTAACTCAATGCAATAAACATTTAAAAAATAAACATCCTATAGATGCTAATAGAATAATCAAACTATCAATGAACTTAAGAAGTCAATTAACCTACTGGCTAGTTATTACCTAAAAAAACTTAGCACTAACAATACTGATCTAAAATTCTTTTAAGATTACTTATGGTAAGGGTTCTTGACTTTGGCTATATATTAGAATTACCTAGAGAGACAGTAAAACTATCAGTGCCTGAATTCCACTCCCCATATCCTATTTTATTTGCCCTGAGAAAAATGTTAAAAGTTGAAAGCCCTATCTTGGACTCTGTGATAAATCTGTTGATGATGCATTATTTTACAGATAACTGCTAAATAAAAATCTAGAAATATGATCTCAGTAGCAAGAATAAAGGAATAACAGAAGTGATCATTTAAATTTAGCACCATATAAAACAGAATAAATTAATACAGTATCACAATGCAAATGAGAGACAAAATTGAGTCCCTTTAATAACATTTTCTAATCTCAATACTATATAATGTTTCCTTAAACTACTTTCCAATACCTTCAATTCTTCAGTGTGTCTAAAGAGAAAAATTCCTGTTAAGAAAATAAAAACTACATGACTTTAGTCTGAGAGCTGAAAGAATGAATAAGTTCAGAATATTTCCCTTATGAAGACAGTACATACATGTGCATAATCAGCCTACAATACTCCCTTTATAACAGGGTCCAATAAAGTTCATGTCTCTGGGCAATGAGATAAAAAGCTATTAACTATAAATGTTTGTCATTTTAGTATATTTTGACAGAATTTAGTTTTTCCTCCAAAAACAGCTGACAGTATATGAGATTTACTAGCAACATGACCTAGCATGGAGGGATGAATAAAGAACATCATAACTTTCAACACACTTCAGAATATCTTGGTTACAAACCAGATGGTAAAACTTAAAAAAAAAAAAAAAAACTAAGGAGAAGTAGCCCAATTAGAATAAAGTTAAAAGAACCACTATTAAAGCTAGTTACACAGGGTGAGGAAATCAGCTTAACTTCCACGTAATTTCATTTTTCTCACATTCTTAAAATCTTTTGAGGTGGTACTCTTCAAGACACATAAGAGATAACAACCCAATAAAGAACTAAGTATTTGTTTTCAGTTAAATATTAGAGAACACATTAATTATATTAAATGTATTAAATATAATCCAAAATTTAGTGACATATTATAAAACTAATACCCAGGTGCCAATATCCTGGTAAAGATTTTGAGATGCTGAAGGAAGCACATTTTGAATTCAGAATGGTTAGAAAGATATACATGTCTATGTCATTAAAGACAATGAGATTTTTAATTACAGATCTACAGTTTTAAAAAACAACCTCACATTCATCTCTCATGGAAATATGATACAAAATTTTAAAAGAATGTCCAGCCTCAGAAGGAACACTCCCTCAAACAGTTGTTGAATTAGCTCCTCGTTATTTACTGACATAAGAACTACGACTTTAACTTACAACTCTTCAAACCTATCAATGGTTAAACCCATAAACAGTGAACTCGTGAGCAGACGCTGAGGTAACAGAAAAGGAAGGATCAATAAAGATAATCAGAAAGATAACCACTATGCTTAGGTCAGTCACTTTATGACTGCCAAACTGTGCACATGCATACATTTAAATGCTTATATCCATGTACACACACATACACAGAGTAGTTATGTCTTGTTTCACGAGTCTCAGTCTAAAGACATGACATAAATAGAAACAAAAAGCTTTGTTGCCCAGACTAGTTATGAACTAAGGATTCACTGAATGATGGATGGATGGATGAATAGATAAGGGAAACAGATATAAGAACACATTGCTGGGGGAAGGGAGCATGGCACTTAAGAACTTTAAACCAGTATCTGTGATTCACAATGCTAAGGTGATGTAAGGACATAAGAGGTCCATCATAAGGTAAATAAATGTGAGCTAAACAATAAAAATTTCACGGAAACATAAAGTAATCATAATATATATTATAAAAGCCAAAAAACATCTGTATAGTAGGGTAAGTTATATTAGTTTTATACTGTTCAGTTTAAAATACCTCTTCTTAAAAAGAAGTTTTATGTAGTTAAATGTAGGGATTAATGCATCTTACCTTCCACAGAAGGTGCCTGGTCCTGAGCTGAATACAGCATATCCTTAAAAGCCTATTAGAAAGTAAGAAAAGAAAGACATGAAATCACGAGTAATCTTCACAGTGAAAGCATTTTCAGCTGAACAATTACTTCTTTTTCAATATCCAGACGCCTACACAGGGTTCCCCAAATCGAGAATTTAGTGAAATAATTTGATTAACTTTAATAAGCTGAAACCCAAATACTATTCTTTCATATCCAGTACTGTCTCATCTTTAAGATGAGGGCTAATATATACATACTTTAAAAATTAAGGGGGATTTGGCTACAAGCAATAAATGCTGGAGAGGGTGTGGAGAAAAGGGAACACTCTTACACTGTTGGTGGGAATGCAAATTAGTACAGCCACTATGGAAAACAGTGTGGAGATTTCTTAAAAAGCTGGAAATAGAACTGCCATATGACCCAGCAATCCCACTTCTGGGCATACACACCGAGGAAACCAGATCTGAAAGAGACATGTGCACCCCAATGTTCATCACAGCACTGTTTATAATAGCCAGGACATGGAAGCAACCTAGATGCCCATCAGCAGACGAATGGATGAGGAAGCTGTGGTACATATACACCATGGAATATTACTCAGCCATTAAAAAGAATTCATTTGAATCAGTTCTAATGAGATGGATGAAACTGGAGCCCATTATACAGAGCGAAGTAAGCCAGAAAGATAAAGACCATTACAGTATACTAACACACATATATGGAATTTAGAAAGATGGTAACGATAACCCTATATGCAAAACAGAAAAAGAGACTCCGATGTATAGAACAGACTTGTGGACTCTGGGAGAAGGCGAGGGTTGGATGTTTCAAGAGAACAGCATCAAAACATGTATATTATCTAGGGTGAAACAGATCACCAGCCCAGGTTGGGTGCATGAGACAAGTGCTCGGGCCTGGTGCACTGGGAAGACCCAGAGGGATCGGGTGGAGATGGAGGTGGGAGGGGGGACCGGGATGGGGAAATACATGTAAATCCATGGCTAATTCATTTCATTGTATGACAAAAACCACTGCAATGATGTAAAGTAATTAGCCTCCAACTAATAAAAATAAATGAAAAAAATAAAAAATTAAAAAAAAAATTAAGGGGGATTTGGAAAAGAATGAAAAATCATAAACAGTCTAGACCAAAAAAGAAAAAATCACCACTGGTCAGTCACAAATTGGCCTCAGTAAAATTGACATTTAGGGCTAGATAATTCTTTACTTGTTTTTTGCATCTAGGTATTTTTTTTTTCTTTTTTATCTATAGCGATTCACTAGATACAGCAACAACTGACCAAAAATGTCTCCAGATGCTACCAAACGCCCCAGAGGACAAAAATCACCCCTCCCTAGAATCACTGGCCTACAGCATTCAAGCATATAAAAACCAAAAAAAAAGAAGAAATCAACCTCCAAGGTGGTCTACTCCAGTTAAATCACATTCTTCTCAAATGGATTTATCATTATTTTAAGTTAGTGACCAATCTTGTCAGTTCCATGACTAACCCCTAACAAAGTCTGACAATACACAAAAGCCCTAAGTGAATATAACAAAGATCTAGAACTTCCTTTAAGAAAAATGTATATACAATCACTTTTATTTTTAAATAATTTCAGATGTCCCAGGAACTACTAATTTCCAGTCTAAAAAAGAAATTAGCTCAGAATATTTTATCAAACATCAGTAAAGTATTTCAGCTCACAGATTGGAATTATATATTAAAAGTCCTATACAACTTTACAGTGGTAGGTATGCTATATTCTTCCATGGAATATTTTAAGAGTGTAAATGAGTACATTGCTTAGAGTAGATTTCCAGAAGTAGAAAAATACAAGAAGAAAGAAACAAAAAAAAATCCAGCCAAAGAAACTTAAGAAAGTAAAACTACCACCAGTTCTGTTCAGTTGCTCAGTCGTGTCCAACTCTGTGAACCCATGGACTGCAGCACACCAGGCTTCCCTGTCCATCACCAACTCCCAGAGCTTGCTTAAACTCATGTACTACCAGGGAACCAGGTAATATCAGAGACTCAAATACCTGACTGAAGTTTTTCTACTTCTTAAGTATGATAGGCATATGTACCTAAATCAGATGATGTTATCAGTAAGTAAATAAACCACCAATGACTAGCAGAAAAGCTTGTATGCAGCAGGAACTTAATTCAAAAGGGTTTCTTTTTAGCACACTGAAAAAGCACAGTAAGTAAAATCTCTGACATGTAATGCAAATGAATTAAATTTGCAAAAGGAAAGTTAACCAAATTAAGGTTTAAAAAGATTAAATTTTATAAAGAGAAAGATTATGATAGTCTTCATTTTGATTATAAAATCATAATTTCATTTAAATCAAGACAACTCTCAGTAAAATCAAGGACAATTCTTTTTGCTTCTTACTACTTCAGTTTTCTTCTGAATAAGAGACCCTCTATGTTTTTTACAGTAATAGACTTTAGAGGACTCTATAAATAGGATACCATCCCCTGACTGTGACTAGAGAATAGACCCCAATTGGAAACCACCAGGGGAAAATCCTACAGAGTATTGTCTATGTTAGCACTTATGACTGTCTATTACATGACTCAGCTGAGTTAGGAGAAGTGCATCCAAATACACAAAATAACAAAATTGAGTTTCCTCATTCATGCTGTTTTAGTTTAAGGAAATACAATACATTATATAAAATTCTATATCTGTATAATAAGTAAAATCAATATGTATTCATTTGCATTACAAAAGATTTCTCTGATCACTGAGAAAGGCACAGGTATGACTCCTGGTCGGGGAACTAAGATCCCACAAGCTATGTGGTGCAGCCAAAAAAAAAAAAGATTCAAAGGAATCCTTACATAAGCATCTCTACTATAATCTCTGAGTATGAAGTTCTTTTTGTTATGTTGTTCAGCCATTCAGTCGTGTCTGACTCTTTGCAACCCCAAGGACTGCAGCACACCAGGCTTTCCCTGTCCTTCACCATCTCCCAGAGCTTGCTCAATTCATGTCCATTGAGTTAGTGATGCCATCCAACCATCTCATCCTCTACCGTCCCCTTCTCCCCCTGCCTTCAATCCTTCCCAGCATCAGGGTCTTTTCAAATGAGTCGGTTCTTGGCATCAGGTGGCTAAAGTATTGGAGCTTCAGCTTCAGCATCAGTCTTTCTAATGAATATTCGGGATTGATTTCCTTTAGGATTGACTGGTTTGATCTCCTTGCAGTCCAAGGGACTCTCAAGAGTCTTCTCCAACACCACAGCTCAAAAGCATCAATTCTGCAGTGTTCAGCCTTTTTTATGTTATAATGTTACTGAAATGTTTGTTATAATGTTATAATGTTATTATTTTTGTTATAATGTTATTGAAATATACACAAACTAGGACAAAACTCTTAGTGTTTATAACAATGCATATGACAGTAAAATCTTACAAATTAAATCCAAACACAATCACAAAACCAGTATTATTTAATCAATAAAATTAACATGACAGGAAACAAGATGTTTGCTGAGTTAAAATCTGAATTGGTAACGTGAATACAATGCCATTTTGCCTATTCTGAGTTTGGAATGCCAAGATATAGATAGATATAGATCTATCTATAGATATAGATGACATAGTCATCTATGTCAGATGGGATCTACTATGAGGCAGTATAGTCAGTGGCTAGAGGCTATGGAGTCAGGTAATACGTATGAAAACCAACTCTACCACTTATTAGCTATGTAATCATAAAAAATTAACTTCTCTATACTTCAGTACCCTCATCTGTAAAACAGAACTAGTAACTACACATACCTCCCAGGTCTACTGTACAAATTAAAAACTTAAAACACAAATCCTTACATTAATTATGATTCATTATTATAACTGAATAATATCATATATATTATTATATATGAGGAGTACTTTGATCAGTGCCTAGAACACAGAAGATGCTCAAAGAATGTTAGCTAACAGAATGTGAACTACCACAAAACTTATGTCACACAATGGGCTATCGCATCATTTGGCCATCCATCTGCTAGACATGACTGCATCATTTGTGCATTAGAAATGCCTCAATTCTTAATTCTCAGTTCTTACTACTTCACAAAGTAGTACAACACTACTTGGAGCCAACATGGCCAAACAAGCATAAACAGAGACACTGCAATCTCCTGGCATCTAGGTTATAAGATGGTCAACTAGATGATTTAGAATATGCTCCTATTATATTTTCTGATGATCGCTGACATGAGCACACAGAGTTTTTAATTCTTATAAGAAACTTACAGATTCCTAAGAAAACATATGCAGTCTCAACCTACATACACTGTATTTTTTCCTGCACATATTTTATTTTGCTTTACTGGAGTATAATTGTTTTACAATGTTGTGTGAGTTTCTGCTGTACAATGAAGTGAATCAGCCATATGTACACATATAGCCCCTCCCTCAAGACCTCCCTCCCACCCCACCATCCCATCCCAGCCATTGACATCATCACACAACACCAGGCTGAGCTTCCTGTGCCATACAGCAGGTTCCCACTAGCTACCCATTTTACACACAGTAGTATATACGAGAACAGACACGGAGACACAGGGTGGGGGGCGTGGGAAGGAGGAGGGGAGGGCGGGACAAATTGGGAGATTAGGATTGACATGTGTACACTTTAAACAACAAGGACTCCTCATTTTATTACTTAAACTTTCCACAACATATCTTTTGTACAAAATAGGGTATAGTTCAATAATACTGCCAATACAAGTTTCTTACGTTGTTAATTTTTAATAACCCACAGTAGATCATCACTGGGTTTCCCTGGTGGCTTAGAGGTAAAGAATCCACTTGCCAATACAGGAGACATGGGTTCGATCCCTGAGTTGGGAATATCCCCTGGAGAAGGAAATCGCAACCCACTCCAGCATTCTTACCTGGGAAATCCCATGGAAAGAGGATCTTGGTGGGCTACAGTCCATGGGGTCTGTATATTCCCCTTATTTTTTCACCAGAAATACTGAGTAGTCTGTGAATAATGTTCAAGTC